TTCCCTCATTAAAATGCAAATCAATTCATAACATTTTTGACATGCGTTTTTCTGGATTCTTTTGTTGTTATTCTGTCTCTCACTGTTCAAATAAATCTACCATTAAAATAATAACTTAAATATACTTAAGGACAAAAACATGCAAATACAGGCCCGTATTTTTAAATTTTTATTTCTTTGTGTAGTGCGTTTACCTTTAATAAAAGATACGTTAAATGTATTTTTTTATTTGGCTTTAAAATATAAATAATGTACAATCACAAGCATTGCACAACTCCGGATGACATGTGAAGTGAACCCCTGCAGACACGTGAGTTTGGAAGTCATGTCTAGTTGCACCATGTATTAACATGCTTACATATTACTATGCATTCATGTAATTTCAATTAACTAGAGCATGCCAACTCTGAACAAATATTAACATTACACTAATTAGGAGCACACTCTTAAAGGGAGTGCTCCTAATCTCAGCTTGTTACCTGTATAAAAGACACTTGTCCACAGAAGCAATCAATCAGATTCCAAACTCTCCACCATGGCCAAGACCAAAGAGCTCTCCAACAATGTCAGGGACAAGATTGTAGACCTACACAAGGCTGGAATGGGCTACAAGACAATTGTTAAGCAGCTTGGTGAGAAGGTGACAACAGTTGGTGCAATTATTCGCAAATGGAAGAAACACAAAAGAACTGTCAATCTCCCTCGGCCTGGGGCTCCATGCAAAATCTCACCTCGTGGAGTTGCAATGATCATGAGAACGGTGAGGAATCAGCCCAGAACTACACGGGAGGATCTTGTCAATGATCTCAAGGCAGCTGGGACCATAGTCACCAAGAAAACAATTGGTAACACACTACGCCGTGAAGGACTGAAATCCTGCCGCGCCCGCAAGGTCCCCCTGCTCAAGAAAGCAGATATACATGCCCGTCTGAAGTTTGCCAATGAACATCTGAATGATTCAAAGGACAACTGGGTGAAAGTGTTGTGGTCAGATGAGACCAAAATGGAGCTCTTTGGCATCAACTCAACTCGCCGTGTTTGGAGGAGGAGGAATGCTGCCTATGGCCCCAAGAACACCATCCCCACCGTCAAATATGGAGGTGGACATTATGCTTTGGGGGTGTTTTTTCTGCTAAGGGGACAGGACAACTTCACCACATCAAAGGGACGATGGACGGGGCCATGTACCATCAAATCTTGGGTGAGAACCTCCTTCCCTCAGCTAGGGCATTGAAAATGGGTCATGGATGGGTATTCCAGCACGACAATGACCCAAAACACACGGCCAAGGCAACAAAGGAGTGGCTCAAGAAGAAGCACATCAAGGTCCTGGAGTGGCCTAGCCAGTCTCCAGACCTTAATCCCATAGAAAATTTGTGGAGGGAGCTGAAGGTTCGAGTTGCCAAACGTCAGCCTCGAAACCTTAATGACTTGGAGAATATCTGCAAAGAGGAGTGGGACAAAATCCCTCATGAGATGTGTGCAAACCTGGTGGCCAACTATAAGAAACGTCTGACCTCTGTGATTGCCAACAAGGGTTTTGCCACCAAGTACTAAGTCAAGTTTTGCAGAGGGGTCAAATACTTATTTCCCTCATTAAAATGCAAATCAATTCATAACATTTTTGACATGCGTTTTTCTGGATTCTTTTGTTGTTATTCTGTCTCTCACTGTTCAAATAAATCTACCATTAAAATAATAACTTAAATATACTTAAGGACAAAAACATGCAAATACAGGCCCGTATTTTTAAATTTTTATTTCTTTGTGTAGTGCGTTTACCTTTAATAAAAGATACGTTAAATGTATTTTTTTATTTGGCTTTAAAATATAAATAATGTACAATCACAAGCATTGCACAACTCCGGATGACATGTGAAGTGAACCCCTGCAGACACGTGAGTTTGGAAGTCATGTCTAGTTGCACCATGTATTAACATGCTTACATATTACTATGCATTCATGTAATTTCAATTAACTAGAGCATGCCAACTCTGAACAAATATTAACATTACACTAATTAGGAGCACACTCTTAAAGGGAGTGCTCCTAATCTCAGCTTGTTACCTGTATAAAAGACACTTGTCCACAGAAGCAATCAATCAGATTCCAAACTCTCCACCATGGCCAAGACCAAAGAGCTCTCCAACAATGTCAGGGACAAGATTGTAGACCTACACAAGGCTGGAATGGGCTACAAGACAATTGTTAAGCAGCTTGGTGAGAAGGTGACAACAGTTGGTGCAATTATTCGCAAATGGAAGAAACACAAAAGAACGGTCAATCTCCCTCGGCCTGGGGCTCCATGCAAAATCTCACCTCGTGGAGTTGCAATGATCATGAGAACGGTGAGGAATCAGCCCAGAACTACACGGGAGGATCTTGTCAATGATCTCAAGGCAGCTGGGACCATAGTCACCAAGAAAACAATTGGTAACACACTACGCCGTGAAGGACTGAAATCCTGCCGCGCCCGCAAGGTCCCCCTGCTCAAGAAAGCAGATATACATGCCCGTCTGAAGTTTGCCAATGAACATCTGAATGATTCAAAGGACAACTGGGTGAAAGTGTTGTGGTCAGATGAGACCAAAATGGAGCTCTTTGGCATCAACTCAACTCGCCGTGTTTGGAGGAGGAGGAATGCTGCCTATGGCCCCGAGAACACCATCCCCACCGTCAAATATGGAGGTGGACATTATGCTTTGGGGGTGTTTTTCTGCTAAGGGGACAGGACAACTTCACCACATCAAAGGGACGATGGACGGGGCCATGTACCATCAAATCTTGGGTGAGAACCTCCTTCCCTCAGCTAGGGCATTGAAAATGGGTCATGGATGGGTATTCCAGCACGACAATGACCCAAAACACACGGCCAAGGCAACAAAGGAGTGGCTCAAGAAGAAGCACATCAAGGTCCTGGAGTGGCCTAGCCAGTCTCCAGACCTTAATCCCATAGAAAATTTGTGGAGGGAGCTGAAGGTTCGAGTTGCCAAACGTCAGCCTCGAAACCTTAATGACTTGGAGAATATCTGCAAAGAGGAGTGGGACAAAATCCCTCATGAGATGTGTGCAAACCTGGTGGCCAACTATAAGAAACGTCTGACCTCTGTGATTGCCAACAAGGGTTTTGCCACCAAGTACTAAGTCAAGTTTTGCAGAGGGGTCAAATACTTATTTCCCTCATTAAAATGCAAATCAATTCATAACATTTTTGACATGCGTTTTTCTGGATTCTTTTGTTGTTATTCTGTCTCTCACTGTTCAAATAAATCTACCATTAAAATAATAACTTAAATATACTTAAGGACAAAAACATGCAAATACAGGCCCGTATTTTTAAATTTTTATTTCTTTGTGTAGTGCGTTTACCTTTAATAAAAGATACGTTAAATGTATTTTTTTATTTGGCTTTAAAATATAAATAATGTACAATCACAAGCATTGCACAACTCCGGATGACATGTGAAGTCATGTCTAGTTGCACCATGTATTAACATGCTTACATATTACTATGCATTCATGTAATTTCAATTAACTAGAGCATGCCAACTCTGAACAAATATTAACATTACACTAAAGATGAATTAACATTGTCATTATATGTCTATGCAACCTTTTAATCCTTCCTCTGCTCGCATTTAGTGCTCCGAGTGCAGGGGTCGTCAAACACAATAAGAAGAGGAGACATTTTTTGTTAATTCAGTAAAAACCTCAACATTTCAACAACCGCAATGCATGTCAATACGAGACCGTCCTCAATAAATAACGTCACGAAGCAGTGCTTAAAGAGCCGCATGCGGCTAAGGAGCTAAAGGCTGCAGACTCCCCTGCCCGTGTGTTACATCGTATTGCATACAGTACATGTACAGCCCGTTGTTTTTCCAATGTACTGTTGGCCGAGGGCCTCCCCCCACAACACGTGGATCTGTTGTGAATGCTATTTGACCATTCTTCACGACGCTGGTAGGCTCGGGTTGAAAACGGGCAGCGGGGAGGGGTATACAGCTCATCAATGGGGATTGATGCACTGCTCTCTGCCGACCACCATGTAGAACACAGCCTCGCGGCTGCCTGTGGCAACCTGTTTGTGCATGGTTATCACCCTGTTTGTGCACGGTTATCACCCTGTTTGTGCACGGTTATCACCCTGTTTGTGCACGGTTATCACCCTGTTTGTGCATGGTTATCACCCTGTTTGTGCATGGTTATCACCCTGTTTGTGCATGGTTATCACCCATCCAAGCACGATCCAGGCTCTATTCCGCTTAGCTTCTACGCTATGACGAAATGAAGTGCATTTCGGGCGATTTTTGCCATAGGTGAAAATTTAATGAAAACGGCCATGAAAATATTTAACATGGCATTCCTGACGCAATTATCTGGCTTAACCACCTCATTCGTAAACAATTATCCACACAGAGTAGTGAATGTCCATGTACAGCCCAAGCCAGTGATAGAAATTCAACATTTTCATAGTGGACCAGAGTCCCTCCACAGGGCGATGATTGTCTAAACCCCAAAAGTGGTACTCTTTTTAACGACCGCTGGAGTGATAAACTAAACTATTTATTGTACCAGGTGAAGCCCACCGAGCTATACAGCTCTTTTTCAGAAGCGGCCCAGCCACAATTGATAGCTCAACGAAGTGGCTTATTGAGTGGAAGTTAATAGCAGCAGCCAAATAAGGTATTCCTCGCTTTACAAACGTTCGGTTTACGAAATTTCGCATGAACGCAATTGACAAATTATGAGCAAAATCGAATTTCCGCGGCAATGAAATTTCGCATTCCACCCGCCACGAGATCATGAAACAAGAAACACGTGGGAGGCTGTGTCAACCGTCCGTGACAACGTCATGGTTCCCCTTAAGTGCAACAGTCGCACCTCCTCATCACGTGTCCAGGCCTTCCAATATGTAGATCTTTTGGCGAGCAGCCCAACAAAAGATTAATGATTTTTGTTTTAAATGTATTATTTAATCATCTTAATTTGCATGTTGCTTATTGTTATTTTTGTATTGTGAAAAGTGATGTGTAATATTTTTAGGTTGGAAATAAGAGTTGGAATGACACCTCCCTCATTTTAAGTTTTAAATTCATGGGAAAAGCCAATCCGATTTACGAAATTTCGTTTAACCGTGACTTTCGTAAATGGAGGGACACCTGCTATCTAAATGCACGCTCCAAAAATGTGGAGGGAAAAACCGGAGGACCCAGAGAAAAAAAAATCCACATGACCACGGGGAGAGAGACACCGCAAAACTCCAAATATACAGCAGCAGGCATCAGGGTCGGGTTCGAACCCACGACATCCTGCATACCCGGCGAGGGAGACAATGATGGGCCGAGTTGACCACCATCTCTGACTTGAACTCAAGACTCTCCGATTGAGACAGCGGCACTCTTCCATGGCACCACGACCCACCAGAATAAATAAATACACAATTGTAAACAATTATCCAAAAGATGGTTCTCATTCTCTTCTCCTTGCGGTTTGAGTTGATCAATTTGCCGTGATTTTGATGTCACTTATATTTGAGCATCATATTCTGCTCGCCTTGCTTTCGCGTCTCATTTTCATCGTCTCATTTACGCACGTGTTTTGTCGTGCTCCGTCTTATTCATTTTTCATTAGCCTGCGGTTAAAAATCTTCACAGGCAATTTGCACAATGTTCAAATGCCTAATGTTTACGTGCATTAATGCAACGCGTGTATCAAGGGCGTGAGAATAAAATGACAGTGATGCATTGAAGAATGGCTACAAGCTCACGAACAATTCTCTGGAATTAAGGGGGGGGGGGGAATGAAACAATCAGTCTGAAACAAAGTTATTTATATATGTGCGTATATATGTAACATTGCTTGCGGCTATCGGAGCTTGGAATCGACTGGAAGGCTCTTCAGCTGGGAAGAAGAGGAGTCTGAATTTCGGCCAAAGAGCGCCCATTGGGCCGTCTGGTTGATGGGCAGCTCACGGTGGCTGTATCCATAGGGGCGCAGGTGGTAGGCGAAGTACTCAAAGGTATACATCCACGTCGGAGACATGTAGTGGAACGTGGCCGAGTAGTCCGAACAGCACCGAGGACCCTGGAGCACGTAGCGGGGAGAGACACAGGTATGACACACGTGACATGGGGGGAGGGGGAGAATGGGGGCACACACGGGGATACATGGGGTATTGGTGGAACACAGTGGGACACGTGGAAACACACGGGTGCGGGGGTAAGATTTGTTCAGGGCCGCAACAGGACAGGGGCAACGTCTAGAGATGGGCTGCATTGAGGATGGTAATGTTAGCAGCTTATTGTGTCATGGTTACGCTGGTCCCTGCCATAGCAATAAGGAATTCCCACTCCTGGTGCAAGACCAGCGATTGAGAGAAGCACGACTCCATATCCCACGTGATCAAGAGGCTTTTTGACCTAACGTACGTTTGCTGCAATTGCCAAGGGCCCCCCCCCAATTTAACTTTGTGCAGCACTGTAATCACGTATTACATTATTAAAGCTGCGGATGTGGCCAGGAGATGGCAGCGCTGAGTGTCACCACCACCACCCCCACAAATTCGGTGGGGAGCGGTGGGAAGTGGTGGCCTAGCGATTAGCGCGCTGCCCTACGGACCCAGCGATCGGAATTCGATTTCCGCTCACGGGCCAACAACAGTGACGATTATCTGAACCGGTCCCGAGCCTCAGCCGAAAATTAGTACTTAGTGCGGTGTGTAAACATCGCTACTCGGGAGACAAAGGCGGCCAGGCGTGGTGCTGGTCACCCACTCCCTCGTGTGCCGTGCCAGCCTTTATTAGGTGCTCGCTAACAGCACTTGCCCCAACAGTCTGTTAAGGCTATACGGGGGATATTTGTCTTTGTATTCGTGGTTTCTCTGGTTTCTCCAGTTTCCTCCCAAATGAAGTAAAAATAGTCTTGTAATTGGTCAAACATCTCAATGCAGGGCCCTCCTGAATAAGAGTCCTGTGACTCAGGTGAAGCTTCTCAGGCTGAAGGGCATTACCATTATTATATTATACCAATAGCTAAAATGACACCTCAAATACGTATCGTGAGGCCACAATGGGTGAGCGACATCTCATTTGTGAGGGTACGATACGATTCAAAATGTACCAACAAATGCATTCTCACATTATTCTAGACACACGTTATTGCATGAATTATTACTCTGCACGCAGAATAAACCAACATGCATGCAGCAGTGAAGCTGCCTTGTTTTTTCGAGATAGTAGCGGCTTTTGGCTGGCCATCGAACAAACATGGTTACCGCATCGCGCGCTTTCAGACGCGCTTCTGCGACCGTCTGGACTGCTCTTCCTTCTGATATTAGGAAGCCACTGGAGCGATCTTTTAAATTATCTAGATTTAAAAGCAATTTCTTGAGAACTGCTTTTTGTGTTTAGTTTGTTGTCCTTCCCCCATATGGTGTGCAAGACATTCAACATACATACACACATATCGTATTCCAGTTTTAACTTAAAGCTTTTGTGACTGCAGGAATTCATATTCTTGGGTCTTTCGGTAAAGTCACGAAGATCGTTTAAAAGAAAATATCAAACATAACAAACAAAAAACTCCGACGTTTCGATCGCAACACAAGCGGTCGTCTTCAGGAAAAGGGGGGTGAGAGCTTTCTAGGCAAACTGTTTATAAGGGGTTGAAAATGGGCGTAGCAGCCAATGACAATGCGAGTGGTGGGCAGCCAACCCGATGGTGGTTGGTTTTCCACCATTGAAAGGGCTGCCAGGTGAAAATTAGAATATTAAAGAGAGATTAGTATATTAAAGATAGATTCGCATATTAAAGAGAGATTAGCATGTTAATGTAAGATTAGCATGTTAATGGGAGAATAGCATGTTAAAGAGAGAGAATAGCATGTTAATGGAATATTAACATGTTAAAAAGAGAGATTACCTTGTTAAAAAGAGAGATTACCTTGTTAAAAATAGAGATTAGCTTGTTAAAGAGAGAGATTAGCATGTTAAAGAGAGAATAGCATGTTAAAGAGAGATTAGCATGTTAAAGAGAGACTAGCATGTTAAAGAGAGACTAGCATGTTAAAGAGAGACTAGCATGTTAAAGAGAGATTAGCATGTTAAAGAGAGACTAGCATGTTAAAGAGAGATTAGCATGTTAAAGAGAGACCAGCATGTTAAAGAGAGACCAGCATGTTAAAGAGAGACCAGCATGTTAAAGAGAGACCAGCTTGTTAAAGAGAGACCAGCATGTTAAAGAGAGATTAGCATATTCTTAGTTTTTTCGGTAAAGTCACGTTGAAGAGAAACAACAAAATAACAAAATATATATAAAACAACAAAAAATTCTCACGACGTTTCAACCATAACTCAAACGGTCATCATCAGGTGTGTTGGTTTGCATAAATGTATTTGTAAACGGCACATTTATTTATTTATTTAAAAAAACGTTGGCGTCACGCGCAGCGATTTGGCAGTTTGCCCAGGACTAGTCCATCTATTTTTTTGAAAAGAGTAGGGGGGAGACGAATTTTTTTTATAATGTATGCTGTCTGAAAGCCACTGTAAGCGTGAACAATCAATTAAGAACTGAAATGGTTTATCAAATCTTTCCAATGATTGCTAAGAGAGAATCCATCTTCTCGGTTGAAATTGTCTCTGTGCTTGTATATGTGGATAGCCTCATGAACGAATCTCTCATGGAAGCCAGATGGCTTACAAAGAACCTCCATCTTGGAAAAGTCAATGGCATGTGAGCCTACTGAATTAGAACAATGATCTGCTACGGCCGAGGTGTTGGTCCTACCGTGTTTAAGGTCTGCTTTATGTTCACGAATGCGGTCCGAGACATGGCGTTTGGTTTCTCCAATGTAACTACTACCACAGAGGCAACTTAGTTTGTAGACACCAGGGTATTGTATGTCCGGAATCACATCTTTTACAGATGGAACCAGATCACGGATTTTATGTAATGTGTTGAAACGGACCTGGATCTTGTGTTTATTCAAGATTTTGGAGATCTTTTTTGTGATCCCAGCAATGTAGGGTAAAGTGATGGTTTTGAAAAGCTCCTCAAGAGGGTTCTTCTTCATGGTTTGAGTGATAGCTTTGCGGATTGTATAGTCGGAGTAACCATTAGCCCTAAGAGCTTGGTGTACGTGCTTGAGTTCACTGTTTATGTGTTCCTGGTCGGATATGCATTGGGCTCTATGATACAGAGTCTTGATGAGAGAATTCTTCTGTGATGGATGGTGGTGGGAATCCGGTTTCAGATAAGCATCCGTATGGGTAGCTTTCCTGTAGACAGAGTGGCTCATTGAACCATCAGGTCTCTTTTTAATAGACATCCAAAAAAGGTATCTTGCCATCTATTTCGACTTCCATGGTAAATCTGATGGCTGGGTGTATGGAATTGATGTGGTCAAAGAATTGGTCTAGAGCAGGCCGGCCATGTGGCCAGATGACAAAAGTGTCATCCACGTACCTCTTCCATAAGGTTGGGCGCAGAGTGGCAGTCTGGATGGCGTCAGTCTCAAATTTCTCCATGAAAATGTTAGCTATAACTGGAGAGAGGGGGGAGCCCATTGGTGTGCCCTCAGTTTGTTTGTAGAAAGTTCCATTCCAAGTGAAGTATGTATTGGTTAAACAGTGTCTCACCAGGGGGGGTACCTCAGTGTTTAGTCCTTGATGAACCAAGTCTTCAATGATTGCAATGGTGTCAGGTACAGGAACCTTGGTGAATAAGGAAACTACATCAAAACTGACAAGCAGGTCGTCTGGGGACAGGGAAATACCCTTGATTGTCGATACCAGGTGAGTAGAATTTTGTACCGCAGAGGTGGTCTTTCCAGTGAAAGGACGCAGGATTTCAGACAAAAAACGAGCTAGTTTGTAGGTGGGGGAGCTGATAGTAGAGACTATGGGACGAAGAGGTGTATCAACTTTATGTATTTTTGGTAAGCCGTATAATCTTGGTGGCCTGGCAGCAGAAGGTTTCAACGAAAACTGTTTAGATTGATCAATTAATGCGGTTGAATCAGAAATTATTTTGTTGGTTTGTGTGACGAGGCTGTTGGTGGGATCTCTTTTTATTTTTGTATAACTACCATCGTCGAGTAATTCTTTAATTTTGTTGTTGTATTCTATTTTATCCATGATGACAGTAGCATTGCCTTTGTCAGCTGAGAGGACTACAATATCATTCCTCTTTTTTAATTTATATCGGATTGGGAACATGTAGACAATATGACTGCCTCTTCAGCTGCTACTATGTCGACCAAATGTTAAAGAGAGACTAGCATGTTAAAGAGAGACCAGCATGTTAAAGAGAGACTAGCATGTTAAAGAGAGACCAGCATGTTAAAGAGAGACCAGCATGTTAAAGAGAGACTAGCATGTTAAAGAGAGACTAGCATGTTAAAGAGAGACTAGCATGTTAAAGAGAGACTAGCATGTTAAAGAGAGACCAGCATGTTAAAGAGAGACCAGCATGTTAAAGAGAGACTAGCATGTTAAAGAGAGACTAGCATGTTAAAGAGAGACTAGCATGTTAAAGAGAGATTAGCATGTTAAAGAGAGACTAGCATGTTAAAGAGAGACTAGCATGTTAAAGAGAGATTAGCATGTTAAAGAGAGATTAGCATGTTAAAGAGAGATTAGCATGTTAAAGAGAGACTATCATGTTAAAGAGAGACCAGCTTGTTAAAGAGAGACCAGCATGTTAAAGAGAGACTAGCATGTTAAAGAGAGACCAGCTTGTTAAAGAGAGACCAGCATGTTAAAGAGAGATTAGCATGTTAAAGAGAGACTAGCATGTTAAAGAGAGACCAGCATGTTAAAGAGAGACCAGCATGTTAAAGAGAGACCAGCATGTTAAAGAGAGACTAGCATGTTAAAGAGAGACCAGCATGTTAAAGAGAGACCAGCATGTTAAAGAGAGACTAGCATGTTAAAGAGAGACCAGCATGTTTAAGAGAGACTAGCATGTTAAAGAGAGACCAGCATGTTTAAGAGAGACTAGCATGTTAAAGAGAGACCAGCATGTTAAAGAGAGACCAGCATGTTAAAGAGAGACTAGCATGTTAAAGAGAGACTAGCATGTTAAAGAGAGACTAGCATGTTAAAGAGAGACTAGCATGTTAAAGAGAGATTAGCATGTTAAAGAGAGACTAGCATGTTAAAGAGAGACTAGCATGTTAAAGAGAGATTAGCATGTTAAAGAGAGACTATCATGTTAAAGAGAGACCAGCTTGTTAAAGAGAGACCAGCTTGTTAAAGAGAGACCAGCATGTTAAAGAGAGACTAGCATGTTAAAGAGAGACCAGCTTGTTAAAGAGAGACCAGCATGTTAAAGAGAGATTAGCATGTTAAAGAGAGACTAGCATGTTAAAGAGAGACCAGCATGTTAAAGAGAGACCAGCATGTTAAAGAGAGACCAGCATGTTAAAGAGAGACTAGCATGTTAAAGAGAGACCAGCATGTTAAAGAGAGACCAGCATGTTAAAGAGAGACTAGCATGTTAAAGAGAGACCAGCATGTTTAAGAGAGACTAGCATGTTAAAGAGAGACCAGCATGTTTAAGAGAGACTAGCATGTTAAAGAGAGACCAGCATGTTTAAGAGAGACTAGCATGTTAAAGAGAGACCAGCATGTTAAAGAGAGACCAGCATGTTAAAGAGAGACTAGCATGTTAAAGAGAGACCAGCATGTTTAAGAGAGACTAGCATGTTAAAGAGAGACCAGCATGTTTAAGAGAGACTAGCATGTTAAAGAGAGACCAGCATGTTAAAGAGAGACCAGCATGTTAAAGAGAGACCAGCATGTTAAAGAGAGACCAGCATGTTAAAGAGAGACCAGCATGTTAAAGAGAGACTAGCATGTTAAAGAGAGACCAGCATGTTAAAGAGAGACCAGCATATTAAAGAGAGACTAGCATGTTAAAGAGAGACTATCATGTTAAAGAGAGACCAGCATGTTAAAGAGAGACTAGCATGTTAAAGAGAGACCAGCATGTTAAAGAGAGACCAGCATGTTAAAGAGAGACCAGCATGTTAAAGAGAGACCAGCATGTTAAAGAGAGACCAGCATGTTAATGGAAGGTCGCAACCAAGGGGTCGGCGTGAAGTGGCTTTGAAAGCGCAAGTTTGAAATGGGCCTAAAGCACAACTAACATCGGAAGGTGGTAGGATGGGAGCATCATAGCCAATGACGACTTAAACTGGTTGATAACGTTGATTCTCGGTACCCGAGAAGATGTGTATAAACTGAGTAATCATTGGAAGGACGTTAATGGCAGTCAGCCAGGGTATATTTGAAAGCTGCTGCTATTACCGAAAAAACACCGACTCCCAATAGACAATCTGACTTTTTATCGAGACCATCTAAAAATATATATTCCATTTGGAATATATGTTTGAAAATTCAAGCAGCCTGCATGACCTTTTTTTCTAGTTGGGCGATTTGCTCGCTTTCTCCTCAGATTGTGCACGCAGCGTTACCATTCTGTGCGGTGGCCGGACGTTTTTTTTTTTTACAGAGCTGTGTACACACGCGGGGCGCATGGTGTGGGGGGGGGGGTCCAACAACTCACCAGCTCGAGGGGGTGGTAGGAGTAGTCTCTGTACCAGAAAGGTTTTTGGTCGTGTTTCTTGGTCAGCAGCTCCTCGGGAAACACCCCGTGGAAGGTCTCCCTTCGGTGCATGTCCAGAGACTCTCCGGCCACTACGCCAACCTTTGCGAGGCACTTGGCCACCTCCACGTCCTCGATGGTGGACGCGTGCGTGCACTTGCCCGTCTCGAAGGCCTCCACGAACTTGCGCACGGCCTCCCTGCTCATCGCATAGCCGCCACCCCCGCTCATGTAGCCCTGCTTCACGAAGTACTTGAACTTGCGCCCAAAAAAGATGGGCTCCGACGGAGAGTAGCTCACCAGCAGCAGCTTGAGGTTCTCCATGATGACGTAGGTGTCGTCGTCGGCCTTGAGGAACCAGTCTGCATCGTCAAGGTGGTTCTCATGTATGTAGTACAGCGCCTTGATGGTCTTCCAGTAGAGCTTGTCGCGGCCTTCCCCCGTGCCGAGCCCGATGGCCCCAAGCTCCTTGTCCTCCTCCGAGCTCATGAAGAGCACGCGGTCACAGCGCTTGGCCCAGGTGGCCTTGACGTGGCGAGCTTTGGCCTGGACATTCTTCGGGTGCGTGACGATCCAGCACAGCACCCTCACTTTCTTGAGCAGTGCTGCTGCCGTTGAGTTGTCCATGCCTGTGTGGAGGATCACAAAAGCGGTTGTGTCTATGCGCGTGAACAACGTGGCATTTGTATGTTTCTTTTACTCTCTCGACTGTATTCTAATTATGCCGTCGGCATTAACGGCACGGATCAAGTGAACTTCGTTCGGGAACTCCTGCGGAAAGCAGTGCAAAATCACCCCATGTTAGATCAGAGCCTTTGGAATAGGTGCCCATTCAAAATTGCCACGAAGTGGCACTGCACTTTTACCCAGGCCACTCTTGCAGATGAGACAACGCCTTGCCTATTTCGTTTTCACCTGGCTAAAAATACAAACAATACTATCTTCCCGCATTGCATTCTCTGCAATAGTGACGTTTGTGAAATGGCAATAAAAACATATGTCTTTAGTTCCCAGAGTTGTAATAACCCAACTTAAGAGAAAGATTAAAACAACTTTATTATAGACAATGATTACTATCCAGAGTTTTTTTTTTGTTAGATCGTGTAAATATATAAATGTATCGTTAAAACCTGCCACCACCCGACACAGCCAACTAGTAAGGGTTGTCACGTAAACAGAACGTGGCCAATTCTCCACTAGTACAGCACACCGGTGTGTTGGATCACTAGGCTGAGGGCATACACTCGTTATATTTAAACACCATAGCTTAACCATACATGTTAGCACAAACGGTTTCAAGTCAATGAGACCACTACTGACAAAACCCCAAGAAACTGAGCGAGAACCCAAATAAACCGAGGCACAATAACATTTAAAATGAAACTAAAACTATACTATTTTTATGTTACCAGGTAAAGACCACTGAGCTACAGTATATACATATTTTTCAGAAGCAACCTGACCACAAATGATAGCTCAACGAAGTGGCTTATTACGTGGAAATTTATAGCAGCCCAAATATATATGGAAAAACTGAAGGCCCCAGAGAAAATGTCACACGACCATGGGGAGAGAGACACGCAAACTCCAAATATACAGGCATCGGGTCAGGATCGAACCCACGACCTCCTGTATACCAGGCAAGGTAGTTAACATCTCCTAGCCACCGTGATGATGATGATGAGAGAGAGACACGCAAACTCCAAATATACAGGCATCGGGTCAGGATCGAACCCACGACCTACTGTATATCAGACGAAGTAATCATAATAATAATTAACATTTATAATGCACATTCCATCCGAGAACCACAATGCACAATGCATGAAAAGCAGGAGACAAAAACAGAACCAGGGTAAATGTCTAACCTAAAGACGAAAGGCCAGTTTAAAGAGATGGGTTTCCAAAGCAGACTTAGATATATATACCGACTTTGATTGCCCTGATTTTAAGTAGCTCGGCATTCCATAGCTTGGGTGCCACGGTAAAAAAAGCCCGATAACCAAAAGAGCGCCACCTAGACCTGGGAGTGCCGAGCAGTTGGAGATCAGAAGAGCTTGGAGGATTATATAAATGTATTAATTCCTGCAAGTAATGTGAGGTTAGCCCTTTAAAAGCTTTATAGATTAATATCAGTATCTTAAAATCCACTCTGAATTTGATCGGTGCTCACGAAATGGTGTACTTTTAAGCACTCTCACAGCTGCATTCTGAACAAGCTGCAGTCTACCCAGTACTCTACTCAGTATCCCATTCAGTAACGCGTCGCAGTAGTCGAGTCAGGATAAAAACAAAAGCATGGACCAGTCTCTCCAATGAGCAGGTGCATTCTGGATATATTTCTTAGGCAGAAAAATGACAGTTTAACCACCTTAGATATATGTGTCTCAAAGGATAATGACTGGTCAAACTGAACACCAATGTTTCTGACCTCCCATGTGGGATTGACATCGTGACCATCAATCAACAAACGAGGCGAACCAATTTTAGAAAGATGCAGAGGGGAACCGATTAAAATGGCGTCGGTCTTGTCGGCATTTACGAGCAAAAAGTTTTGGCGCAATTATGAATTCACTACTGTTAGTGATGCAGATAGCGCAGTAGATGCTGTTGCATAAACTGGACCTAACCGGATATAAATTTGAGGATCATCTGCACAACAATGGTAGAATAAGCCAAGATGTTGGAGCAGAATACCCAATGGTACCATGTAGATGCTAAAAAGTTATGGGCTAGCACAGATTCTGCGGAACACCACAGAAAACCGGTCTAATTAGTGACTTGAAGACATTTTTGTGACGAAGTACCTGCGATTCTTTAAGTAAGAGTGGAACCACAACAAACCTAAGCCAGGAGATCCCCATTGAAACTTCCAGTCGCTCAAAGAGAACCCCCCGTGATCAATCGAGTCAATTGCTGTGCTTAGATCTAGCAGAATGATGAAGCTGACAAAGCCTTTATCTGCTGACAAAAGTAAATAATTGATCACTCTTACAAGAGCAGTCTTGGTGCTATGTGCAGGTCTGAACCCTGATTGAAAGTGGTCAAATAGATCGTTTGAGGCCAGGTGCTGATGTAAACGAGTGACCACAGCTATAGGTTGGATATTGGGCGAAGCTCGGGATCAAGACCTGGCTTTTTAAAAAGTGGAATGACCGCAGCCATCTTAAAAATGTTTGGGACTGTGCTGGTTTTGAGGGACCTGTTGAGAAGACTGAGGATTAATCGCCTCAGTATAACGGAATGGTCCCGTAACAGCCTTGAAGGGATCCAGTGGACAGCTGGTAGGTCGAGAGGCAGCAAATAAAGAGAGTAGTTCCGCAGTTGACATTGCAGGAAACTCGGTTAACAATGTGCCTTCGAACTGAGCTGGAGGCAAGTAGGAAAGAGAAGAAACACGGGGAAGAGACACTAATTTGGACTTGATGGTGGGAATTTTATCGTGCAAAAACTGTTGAATTTTAGTACATAAATCAGTGGAGGAGTGGGAGATTATATTTGGTTCCGTATTCAAAAGTTGACTGATACAGGAAAATTCGGTCTGAGGATTGTTATCACTATTTGCAATGCGACCAGTAATGTAGGAGGATTTCGCCAAGGCAATATCGTTATGATAAGTACAAAGTTGTTATTTAAATATTTCATGATGAATGGTGAGGCCAAACTTCTCCCAGCACGTTCTGCTTCACGGGCGGTAGTTTTTTGCACCCTCAATTTTGCAGTGTACCATGGCGAATGGCGATGGAACGATATACAGCGATCTCGAAGGGGAGTCAAGTGATACAGGATCTCTGACAGACCAGAGTTATATCATTGAGCAGCTTCAACGGGAAATTTTCACTCATCAGCGAGTGAATAACTCGATAGGGGGTCTGTGAGAAAGGCCACGGTGATAGATATAATTTTGCTAAATGAAATTCGATGTTTAATAGAAGGACCAGGAGGGGGCATAGATATATCAAAGAGGACCAAAGAGTGGTCTGAGATTCCAGGATCCATCACAGTCAATTCAGAGAGTGAAAGTCCAAGAGAACAAACCAAATATAGAGTATGTCCACCAGACTGTGCTGGCTGTGTGACATGCTGGATTAAACCAAAAGAGTCAAGGATGGCCAAAAAATCCCTGACATAAGGTTTGGATGGTGTATCACAACGTGAATATTAAAGTCACCAATTATGAGAATCCGTTTTGAACGAGCACACACCACCAAGAGGAACTCTGAGAACTCTGAAAGGAATGTGTAAATTAACCTGGGAGGGTGATAGAGCAATATTAACAATGCCAGCTTGGTACAAATTGGCCTCCAATGTAATGCGAGGTGCTCAAATCACTGGAATGTTGGCAATGGGAAAAGTTTTACAAATGCAGAATGTGTATGAAATGAAGCCAGACCACCCCCTCTACCTGATGACCGTGGATTCTCACAAAAAGCGAGACCAGATGGAGTCGCCTCATTCAGTGAAAAATAGTCAAGAGGCCCGTGCCAGGTCTCAGTCAGACAAAGGAAGTCAATACAGTGGTCTGTGATAAGTTCGTTCATTGCAAACGCCTTACTTGTGATAGAACGTACATTAAGTAATGCTAAATGAGCATAACCAGTTATGGGGTCCTTTAACGGCGATCATTGAGCAGGCCCCAATGGGCAATGAAAGGAACAGGTACCAATGGAAATGGTGGGGCTATGACAAAACAGATCTGATGTTATGACCTAATTTGCGAGTGAATTGATGATATTGCTACGTCCAGCCCCATGATGAACATACCCAGGGAATAACAGAGTTGGGACAACTTTGCATCACGTCATCGAAAAACAGAGAGCAAACTCAATAATGCATTTCTAAGGTACACAGCCATCATAATATCAGACCGCTGTCATCATATACATCAATCTACTAGTGATGTTTGTAAACCGATGAGGCAGAAATGAACAGAGGCAATGGGAAATCCACAGCCACACAAAACAATGCCAGGGAGGGTCACACGCAGCATGAAGTGGACAACTGACGCAGAAAGAAAAAAAAACTGAGAAAAACAGACGACCACATATTTATAAAGGCTGCAAAAGTTGCTGTGGCCAACCTGCCAACAGCCCAGATGGGCCAATCAGAGGCAAAAATGGCGGCCAAGGGGTGCAACACCCGTGGCTTTGTTGACTTATGAAGCACGACAACCAAGCAGTCCCAAGTTAACCAATCAGTCGCGGGAGTGGCAGTCACTGGGGCTGACAATGGCGTCCAATGCAGCATGCAGGCCCAGGCAGGCCGCATAATGATGGTCGCAGCAAGCAGCACAGCCAAAGCAGGCAATGTCGCGGCCATACAAAAACAGGGGCCCAGCTGAACCACTTGCAGGTGCCGTGAGATAACATCTCGCTAAGGCCGACGCAGATGCAGCAGCCAGACCAACACCAGCAGGCCAGCAGCACAATGACCAAAAGCCCAGTAGTTAACATCTGGCCACCGTGGTACCCTAACTGTCACGCAGGAGAAGGCGAGTCCACTTCTGGAGAAAAGAGGGGGATTGGGGGTTACTTCGTGAGTTTGCGTAGCAGCAATCGGAAGCCAATGCAGTGCACCACTTAGCGAACACCCACATTAGTGAATAATATTATAATGACCTGGAATTGTGGTTCTTATTAGTTTCCCTGCTTGTTTATCATAGAAAGGCTGTTAGCAAAAGACAACACTTTTAGGGCTGACCATTACATGCGGCCTAAACCATCGGCAGCAGCTGCTGGTGCACTGCAATAAATAAGGCCTGGGTCTGTTATTATTCACAGGTAAATAACAATAAACGTGAGAATCCATTTCATTGTGAAACACCGGGAGTCTCCTGAATGGAAATACATGCTAGATTACAACTCAGGATTATTTCAATGGTGCCGACTCGATGTTTTGACATTGTGTTAGTTCCCAAGCCACGTGGTCACCTGGCCACCTTTAAAATCATGGAGGTTTATTTGTTTAATCGGTCTGCTGCTATTTAACTATGAGTCGGACTTGTGCTGTGACAAATGCACACACTCGTTTGGTTGAACTGCAGTCGACTTAAGCGTCATGATCAACAAATAAAACAAATTATTTGACCAACGTCACACAACGTGTGACGCACATGCATCTAATGAAACAATTTTGGAGGCAATGCTCATGGTGGTGGATCACGCAGATCTGCAAAACTCTGAAAGCCGCTGTGCTGCAAGGTAGCCAGTGGATATGGCAGTAAACCAAGTGGGTTCTCTCTGCTCCAGCGACAGTAAACCAAGTGGGTTCTCTCTGCTCCAGCGACAGTAAACCAAGTGGGTTCTCTCTGCTCCAGCGACCAAGGCCTTTCTATCCAAGACCCCAATAAAACTTTACTCGACGGGAGCTCCGCTCATTTCTCATATGGTGCCCCCCCCCACCCCCCATGGGCTAAAATGTCCTTACCCCAGATATCTCTGTATTTGGCTCGTTAACTCCGTTTAATTCAATGCTCAAACCCTAATACATTACTTTAAATACGTGAAGCACGGGGTCACTGGTAATGAAAGCCGAGTTCTCCCCCTACCACCAAAACAATGTTGGTTTAAGGTGCTTTTCTGTTTGCGAAAATAATAATTAACTTTCTGCTCTCCCTTCTTCCGTCGACTGGCGGTTTTACCTCCTCGCCATCCCCCGCCCAGTTAACAAAGTTCGTGGCTTAAAATTGGGTCTGCACTGCTCCCATATTTGTTAAATGCTTCCGCCTCACCCTCCTCCACCGCCCCGATCTCTTTAACCCCCTCTGCCCAGGTGTAGACCTATCCCAATCCACGTCCGGTACACAGATAAAAAATATCAAACACGGTAACCTGGGCATAGCAACCGAGAACTTTCATGCAGAGTTGGACCCATGTTAGAGAAAGTAGCAACAAGTATTGTAGTTTCTGTTGTAAAATTGTTTTAATAATTTCTGGCCTCAATGAGCCCCTACTTACAGGGTAACAGAGGAGGGGCGCCAGTGTGGAAGTTTGTCCCAAGCTTGAGATCCATGGGGGCCTCAGAAAGTGCCACTGTTGCCTTCTTTGGCATTTTTTCCTCCGCCCAGGCCAAGACAAACCTTTTGACAGCCCTTCATATGTGGTCATAATGCAATTTATGTACATACCTATACACTGCGAGTCCCGGGTTGTGGAACGTAGATTGTGATGAGATAATGAAATCTAAAGTTAGTCAGGGCCATCTTGTTAGCACCCTCGTGACATATCTTAAATACAGTTTCACGTGCCAAATCAATTTCGTCAGTGGCTATTACGGAACACCTGACTGTGATTGTTTGTTCTTCTCAGTAACAAAGGGCTTCAACCCCATTCTGGTAGCCCGGGATACACGGCCCACATTGTATCCAACGTCTAAAATTCAAAAGCGGTTTGTTTTTTGGGTGTGGGTTTTTCTTTTTATAGAAACGTGGGGCCACTGTGTGGAAATACAGCACATCACTTCAGTATGTGCACCTGTTCCTAAACCCCCAGCAAATGACAGTGCGGGTGATAGGCTTGGGGATGCAGATATAGTTGTAGCCATTAGTATACAGAAAAAACCTAAAGTAAAATACGACCTTACCATTGAGCGATAATTCACTTTTTTCTTTTTACCTGGCGACCAAAGTTCTATTCAATAACACGCCTAACCATCAGTGGCGAGCGATATGCTAATAGGTCCTGGGTTTCCACCATCACAGACCACACTGAGCGGTGTGAAATTTGGTCAAATAAATCGATAAGATATGCAAGGTGTGTTGAGGACGTCGGCTCAAATGGCTCTTAAGAAGCAGCTTAACATGTCAATGTGCACTTATCCAGGTAAACTTAAAGGAGGTTTTCAGGAGGGCCCTGCACTGGGGTGGTGGCCAATTCCATTTTGGAGTGTTTGGCTGCATGTCGGAGGAAACCAGAGTGTCCGAACTAAACTTGCGCTGAAGAACAGATAACACTCAGGAGGATCCTCACAGATAGACTAAAGAATCAACTTTGTACTGCCATATATTGGCAAACTCGCATCCAAAGAATACAAACTTAGGCAGCCTCATGTCCAAGTGCAAACCAGGCCAGAGCCTGCTTGGATTCTGAAACAAATTAAAAATCAAGATAACTTTATCACCAATAAATAGCAACCAAGGGAGTTAACAGGGATTTACTGAAGATGTTACATGCACCTAGCTGGCATTTCACACTGGTTTATTTGCATAACCACTTTAGGGGTAGGGCAGAGGCTCATTCAGAGATATTTGTAACCCTGATACATAATGCTGGATTAGGGGCCCATCCTTTACCATGTAAACCATGTACAGATATAACCCGTTTCCACCTCCTCTCGTCAGGCTCTGGGGGTGGAGGAGGTGGAGGGGAGAATGTTCATCTTACCTTGATGGCTCAGAACGTCAGAATCCAGGTTCATGACGATGGGCAGTGGCTCTTCGTCTGTGTCGAGGTGGCCGTGGGGGTAGCTGGTGGACTGCACTCGCTCGTGCAGCTTGAGGTCCCCCACCGTCTGCATCAGCAGGTAGCAAATTCCGTAGCCCACGAACCAGCCCAAGACCTTGGAGAGCTGTGGCCGATTTAGCAGCATGGCTCCTTCAGGCGACACGTGATGTATGTATATTTAACTTCTTTCGCGCCGTGCATAGCCAACCATGGTAGTCGGACGTGCGGGGGAAGAACAACAAACTAGACACAAACAAATTTTGATTTAAAGCTTTCGTGACTGCAGTAATTCATATTCTTAGCTCTTTCGGTAAAGTCACGTTGAAGGGAAACAATAGAATAATAAAATATATATAAAACAATACAAATTATCACGACGTTTCGACCATAAAAGTGCACAGCTCCAGTGGCTTCGTAATGTCGGAAGGAAAGCGCGTTCCAGACATCTTCCGAAGCGCATGTGAAAGTGCACAATGCGGTGACCGTCTTTGTTCGATGGTTAGCCAAGAGCTGCTGTTCGGATGACCGGAGTTTGCGTGATGGTTTATGCGCCTTGATTGTGTTTCGGTGAGTCAAGAGACAAACGATACTTTTCAGGGAACATTTGTTATGATGAATGACAAACGCAGCGACGGTTTCTCCACAAAGCCGTATACATGTGCGCGTGTGTACAGCCCTTTTGTCGATCAGCTGTTGGCCCATGCGGGTTACCGAACCACGCTTTCAACAAACTGGTTAATACGGGTTTGTGAATGTGTGGATTAAGAACGCAGAAGTGCCGTACAGAAATGTAATGTGCTGCTTTGCACTCTGCTGCCCATCACGTAACTCGCCTGCACTAAGCTTGGTTCTTTCGGTAAAGTCACGTTGAAGGGAAGTAATAAAATAATACAAATAAAACAATAAAATTATCACGGCGTGCCGATTGCAACACAAGCAATTATCATCGGGTGTGAAAACCACAGCAAGAAATTTTGAAAAAAGTGGCGGTTTTGCTGTGGGTTTCACACCTGATTGCTTGTGTTGCAATCGAAACGTCGTGAGACATGTATTGTTTTATTTGTATTATTTTATTACTTCCCTTCTACGTGACTTTACCGAAAGAGACAAGAACATGAATCCCTGCAGTCAAGAAAGCTTTAAATCGAAATTTAAATGCACTAAGCTTGTTCCATTTTTCCGAGTAGCTTTCAAATACCAGTGAGAGAAGTTTGCTGGTTGGTCCTTGAACTACCACTACTACCTTGAACTACCGCTACTACCTTGAACTACCACTACTACCTTGAACTACCACTACTACCTTGAACTACCACTACTACTTTGAACTACCGCTACTACTTTGAACTACCGCTACTACCTTGAACTACCACTACTACCTTGAACTACCGCTACTACCTTGAACTACCACTACTACTTTGAACTACCGCTACTACCTTGAACTACCGCTACTACCTTGAACTACCACTACTACCTTGAACTACCGCTACTACCTTGAACTACCGCTACTACCTTGAACTACCGCTACTACCTTGAACTACCGCTACTACCTTGAACTACCGCTACTACCTTGAACTACCACGGTGCCACCGCTTTCACAGACTCGTCACTGTCAAAACTGCGGTCACAGAAATTAGAATTGGACTATACTATTGTCAGAACTGTTGACATGCGCCAAATGCTTTCATAACTCGATTTGGTGCTTTCGTGACTGGAGGAATTAATCTTTGTTTTTTTTTCGGTAACGTCACGTAGAAAACAAACAAAGATTAAATTATTTCATGTTCACCCGATTGGCAAGAATGACACTCCAGCATCCTCCTAGCGCCAGCCCCGGTTTGTGAACGTGGCAACTATTCATTCGCACAAAGGGTTGTTTAAAAATGTAACCTTAACCATGACATATGGTCCAAGCAACATCCCTCGGTAATACACAACGTCATACGTTACACATTATAGAATTGTGTCCGCCAGTTGAAATTGTTGCAACACACAGCCACACAAGGTACACATCGGCCCTATGTATTGTCCAACCCTCATACGTGACTGTATATGATTGATAAAAACACATTGTTCACTCGAATGAGAAAGAACAGATGCTATTATGAACCGAGTCGTTAAGGGATCACTCAGGTCAATATACACAGCATGGGTGTACCTCGAGTTGAAATGTGCACCCGTTTCACCACTACAACACAATCATTGGCGTCATTGTGCAGACAAAGTAATGTATTATAATATGAATCTGTAATATATTTTATATTTTTTTTCGCATAACTAGGATCCACGTCTTAACGAGAGGCGCCTTGCCTACTACATACAGTCGCATATCTGGCGGCTCGACAGCATTCATTCAAGCAAGCTTCACTTTTTGGTGACGAGACGCTGTATGATCGAAGTTTGCTCTGTGCCGAACGAAACGATTTAGTGTCGGTTGGTTTGCCGGACCGATGGCTTTCGTGAAGAAATACAGTGTCGTTATGTGCATGCAACAGATGGAACAAGGAGACGCAATTTCCTGCCAACTCGCGTTCAGGTATACTCCTGGTCACCCGTGGGTGTCAAATTCCAAACGCACTCGCAAACCGCCTCGTCGCTTGGACCAACACATAATCTCTACGAATACTGGGACCCCCTTGGCTCTCCGAAAGGGGGACCCTCTTGGCTCTCCGAAAGGGGGTCCCCCCCCCCCCCCCCCGCGGTCGAGGGGGGCGTGGGGGGGGGGTCCTCGTCCCCTGCGACGCGATGGGATAGTCACACGCAAGCTGCCGTACGATTACAGGTGAAGGGCCGTGGCTGGCTTACCTGAGCGTGTCTTCCTGTGCCAGCAGCTGATGTGGTGATGGTGGGTGGGTGGGGTGGGGGTGTCTCTTATCTGCCTCGGCTTTTATGCCTGAGCCTGTACAGGTGCGGCTCGTGTCCCAACTCCTCCTTCCCCTGCCTCACTCTCTGTGCGCTAGGGTGGATAATGTTGAGGAGGCGGAGGAAAGGGGAGGGGTGAGGTGTGAGAGGAATGCGAGGTGGGGTGCAGGTTGGGTATGGGATGCGGAAGCGTGGTGGTTAGCCCACGTTCGCGGCGCTGCGCTTGCCTTTGCGATTTGCCGTTCACTGCCCAACACCACTGACGTTCATCTGAGCCGGTCCTGGGCCTCCCCCATCAGGCATGAAATTAAAAAGCTGGTGCGGTGTGTAAACATCAGCACTGGGGGGGGGGGGGGGGGAGACAAAGACGGCCGGGCGTGGTGCTGGCTAACAACCAGCTACCTTCCCCTAAAGCTGTGTTCAAGATAACCGAGGGGGGGTTATATTTGGTGAGGAATGATAGCAGCCCCACCACCCGCCCGCTCTAAACCAGTCGTGCGAGTCGTAACACGCGCGCAGCTATCGGCGGCGTTGGACACGGGAGGTTGAAATTCACTCGGGCGGCGTGGGCACGGGAGCGGGAGGTTGGAGGCGGCATCCGGAGCCAGACGGAGCCGGTGGGGGGTGGGGACACGAGAGTCAGGGGCCACCACGCGTGCGGCGGGCTGGAGGAGGGCATGTTAACGAAATCGACATTTGGGAGTGAGTGTCAGCCAGGGGTCAAGGGGAAGACAACGCCAAATGGAGGTGGTGATGTTGGTATGTTGAAGTTCTTTCGCACCGCACTTCGATAATCGAAGGTGCGGAGGAAGGGCAATAAACTAAACGCAAAAAGCAGTTCTCAAGAATGTTTTTTTTTTAATCTATATTTAAAAGCGCATAGCTCCAGTGGCTGCTAATAACACCATAAGAGGGTCGTTTGAAGGATCAAGTGTCGCCTATGTAATAAGTGGAACATACACAAAGGAAAGATCGTTCATTGTCTTCTGAAACCTGCAAAGCCTGGGGTTTTTCCACCACTGGTCACGCTAACTTAAAGTTAAACCTCAGCACCCTATTGTGTTCCTCAACAAACGACGACTGTTCCTTCTCTCGAGTGGGGATGGGCGCTGTGATTAAATGGAATCTGCCACCTTTATCTGAATTCGACTTAAACATCACTCACTGGGCCTTAAATGCATTGTTCCCACAACATATAAAGGACGCGTACGTTTGGCCATGTTTGCGAGTTGGATACGTTTGTTTTGGAAATATGCATTGTGATCCGTCCTATCAATACCCCAAAACTTGTACGGTATTTTATTTTTAATGCCACTTTCCCGTCTGCGTACGCCTTGCCTTGCGATTTCACTTGACTCCCATGTTTTGTACCGCGTCTTGAGACGCGCCTGAATTTAGAGGATGTTATAAATTAAAATTGCGCTTGCAATTAAACAACGCGTTTGTTTGACAGCACATCCGGATGATTATCTTTGGTTATCTGGTCTTAATTATAGGACATTTGAGCTTCATCATATTTTGTGCTTGCATCAAAAGATACTACGTCTGCGAATACCATTGCTTCAATAAATGGAGACAAATCGTTAGAGTGGTGTAGCCTTTCCCAGAATTCGACAACTGATTTCATTGTTCCATCTCGTTGGTTTACGCCCTCTCAGAAACGTGACGTTCATGGCCTTTCACTCATTTCTCGGGATTTCTCAGCGTGTGACGTCGCGGGTGACTACGCGACACATTCCGTTGCCTCAATGTACGCAGCCATCAATTACTCAATTGCAATGCGTAATTGACTTTTTTTTACACGTCTCGCGGCAGCAGCCTTTATTGTACCTGAAAAACCAGTTTGATCCACGAAGCGTTCTGCTTTGCAACATCTTTCACGCCCACTGACGTCGCTGCGCAATTTTCCTCAGGCCGCAGAAAAGGTCGAGAGGTTGGAGACCCATTGTGGTATCTGTGCCCCGGGCCTCCAAAAATATGTCGGTGCCTTTATCCACAACACGCTTGCATCACACGCACGACTCGGTGTTCTTTGTGAATGTTATCCCTTTTCGTCAAAAGTAATTACGTTTGGTAAACAATCCAAAATACAGTGTTGTGTTGAGCTTTATTCACTACAGACCCATGAAGACTGTTTAATCTCTTGCGAGGGTGACTTCAGTAACCTCTCTGGCTAATCATAATCAGAACACTGATACCGACGCCAATCTTTTGGCTCCTTGTTTTGCTAAACTTTATACCACCAAGTATTCGCAGAGGCATGCAAGCTGCAAGGTAGTTTACATGTTTCCTTGCCAACGACAACCACATCATCAACCAAGATCTCGACAATTCACCTCGCCGCCGACTCAAGTCCCCACCTCCCTTCTGGTTTTGCGCTGTCACTATCCTACAATCTCTTCCAGTTCTGGAAGAACATCGCCGGCAAAACAGGGTGGAACAACACGGTTGTCCAGGATAAACACCTCATTTGAGACCCAAACATCGCACCTTCTGGCTTTGACATTCCTCGGACACTGGTGGTGTAACCATCATCAGCGTCAGACCATCAACAGGCCGATTCACACATCTCTTTCATGAATGGAAAATTAAAGACAAGCCACGGTTGTGCGTCAGCGGTCTTGCAATCCAAACTTTGGACCGTATAGTAAACCACTCAAGTATGCGCCCTTTAACGGAGGGGGAATAGCAAGTCCTGTGAAGCCCTCTCGTTGCTAGTAGACTCCGATTTTGGCATTTAGCTCTTAAACATATTGCCTTTTGGCGTCCTCTAGTCCAACACCGTTTTAAGACGAGGCTCAAAAGAAAGCTGTCTCTGGTGTGGACCAATCAGTTTCAAAGACAATACATACATTATCAGAGTATGTTTTTTTGTTTGCATTCTGACCACAAGTATTGTGGTTAATGCAGACATGATTCCTTGTAAAAGGTTTCAGTTTGGTGTTCTAATATCTTAACACCTATAATCTTAGTTCTTTCGGGAAAGTCACGTAGAAGGGAAACAATAAAATAATAAAAATATAAAACAATAACATTCTCACGACGTTTCGACTGCAACACAAGCAATCATCATCAGGTGTTGCAGTCGAAACGTCGTGAGAATTTTATTGTTTTATATTTGTATTATTTTATTGTTTCTCTTCTACGTGACTTTACCGAAAGAACCAAGAATATGAATCCCTGCAGTCACGAAAGCTTTAAATCAAAATCTTAACACCTGTTTGTTGCCAGAAAAAGAGGGGAGAACCTCTTCTCATATTGCCATTCGCAAGAATAGAATATAAATTGTGTCCGTATACCTCTGCGTGCATGCATATACTTTCAGCAATGTGGGTCGCAACGGAACACTTCACCTATTCATACAAAGGATAATCCTTCATACAGGTCGAGGTATGGCCTGCCAGTGTTTCAGATTTATCGTAGTTTTGAAAGACTAGAGAGCATTACTCAAATAGCCTATGCAAACATCGGTGCTCTCCAATCACTGCAAATCAAATAGCGCACAACTGTATTATTTGTTGCAAGTTCAGAGTACTGGTCTCTCTTTACACAACGCTTATTGTATTGAAGTGGCGTCTAATTCGGGCCACAATAGACCGGCTGGTCTTTGCACAAACTGAAGTTGTATTCTTCTTTGGTTCTTTCGGTAAAGTCACGTAGAATGAGAATAAAATAATAAAATAAAATAAGACAATAAAATTCTCACGACGTTTCGGCCACAACACAAGCAGCCTTCTTCAGGTGAAAGAACAGAACTGTCGGAACGACAGAGCTACTCAAATAGCCTATGCAAACATCGGTGCTCTCCAATCACTCCAAATCAAATAGCGCACAACTGTATTATTTGTTGCAAGTTCAGAGTACTGGTCTCTCCTTACACAACGCTTATTGTATTGAAGCTCTGTCTTCCCGACAGTTCTGTTCTTTCACCTGAAGAAGGCTGCTTGTGTTGTGGCCGAAACGTCGTGAGAATTTTATTGTCTTATTTTATTTTATTATTTTATTCTCATTCTACATAACTTTACCGAAAGAACCAAAGAAGATGATTCCTTGCAGTCACGAAAGCTTTAAATCGAAATTGAAGTTGTATTATCCTCTTTGGTTATTTTGGTAAATTCACGTCGTGATTTATTTGATTTTATACCTACGTGACTTTACCGAAAGAACCAAAGAGTATGGATTTCTGCAGTCACGATAGATTCAAATCAAGATTGGAGTTGTATTTATTTAAAGCTAGGGTGAGTACATCCACTTTATAGTTATTGTACAAGTATTGCTATTCTAGCTAAAGGATCCCATTCTATTTATAAAGACAAAAATTCCCGTTTAGACATACACATTATTTGGTATGCAAGCACACGTAACAATTTTTTTTAACACATTCGTCAATAATACTGCCTTTATATAAACCTACTTGCTTTACTACCCGGATTAATACGGCCTACGCGTGACGCTGCCGCATGCGGGTGACATCAAAGATGTGACGTCAAAGATGTGACGTCACCACTCACTTGCCGTGCAAAATATCCATTATTGCGCCCCCCCCCCAAAAAAAATACAAAAGTCTATGTTTATACTTTTTGCATTGTGTACAGTCTGGAAGCTACCCACATGCCAAATATCAAGTTTGTTGCATGTAAGGAAGTATTCTAAACATTTCGAACAAACACACATTCACAAATTTCCCTTTTATATTGAAACCTATATACTCGGGGAGAATACACGTATGCACTTTTAAAATGGGCAGTTGCCCCAAAATGTTGCCAATGATATATTTTCCGTTTAACACCAGTGATATTCACGAAGGTATTGAGTTGTTTTGTTTTCGACAATTCATTTTATATTTATATACAAACTGTTGCGGCAAGTGTCGTTTAAGCAAATGCATGTTCGGGCTAGAACAGCACTCGAGGGAGGAATGTTGCCAATACCTCGCCCAACCGCAATTGTCTCAGTGCGGTTCTTTACACACCGTGCCAGGCATTCAATTAAGACCTAGGGGAGTCACAGGACGGGTTGAGACATTTGCCACTCATTTTGGCCTTGAGCAGAGAATGATAGCCTCTACTTCTATACCGCTTCCCGCACATACACGCACATAGCCCACAAGCCCATACCAGACGGGTTTTCACCTGTCGGTACCACCTGAGATGGTGTCACTTTGGTGGTCCCAATTGCTTAATTTTTACACGCTTTTATTTAACTCTGTCTGTTGTTGTATCCTCAAATCTTGTAACTCAATTTTTACCCACTTCCCAATGTGGTATCGACTGTAA